TTCGTTGTTTAGTCGCTAAGTCATGTCTGACTCTTTGCAACGCCATGGACTGTAGCCCACAGTCTACATGCTCCTTTGTCCGTGGGATTCTCCAGGAAAGAATGTTGGAGTGGGTTGCCATTTCCTTCTCCAGGGGATCTTCCCGACCCAGGGCTCAAACCCAAATCTCCTACATTGGCAGGTGGATTCTTTATCACTGAGTCATCTGGGAAGCACAATTAGAGCTAATCATATATAAATATCACCAGTTATTTTCCCAAATGAAAGTGTGATGTCATTAAGTTTGATATTATACTCACTTATTTTGTTTACTTAAGGGTCATACATTAGAAACTTATTTTTAAATTTTATTTTATTGAATTACTGTTAATTTGCAATGCTGTATTATTTTCTAATGCACAGCAAAGTGATTCCATTTTATATAAATAGATAGATAGATATAGCGGTTTGCATCTGCTAACCCCAAACTCCCAACCTATCCCTTCTACACCTTCTGTCTTGGCAACCACAAGTCTGATCTCTGTGTCTGAGTCTGTGTCTGTTTCGTAGATAAGTTCCTCATGTTTTAGATTCCACATATAGGTGATATCATATGGTATTTGTCTTTATATGATTTACTTCAGTTAGAATGATCCATCCATGTTGCTGTAAATGCCATTGTTTCATTCTTTTTATGGCTGAGTAATATTCCATTATCTATATGTACCGTATCTTCATCTATTCATTTGTCAGTGGACATTTGTTTCCATGTCTTGGCTAATGTAAACAGTGCGGCTATGAACATAGGGGTACAAGTGTCTTAGAAACTTATTTCTAACCTACAACCAAATGTCTCTGTTATTCCGGTGGCCTTGCAACTCTCCTTGCCTGCAAACGGAGACCAGGAGGAAGGGCGGGGCAGAGGTGCGGCGGCGCAGGGCCAGCCATGTGCGTGCATGCTAAGTTGCTTCAGTCGTGTCTGACTCTCTGCACCCCATGGGCTGTGGTCCACCAGGCTCCCCTGTCCATGGCATTCTCCACGCAAGTATTACTGGAGTGAGCTGCCATGCCCTTCTCCAAGGGGTCTTCCCCACCCAGGGATCGAACCGAGGTCTCCTGCCGTGCTGGCAGACTCTTGACTGTCTGAGCCTCCAGGGAATCCCCAAATCACAGTAAACTGACTTACAAATGAGTTCACTGCACCTAGAAATGACTGAAAATATTAAGTGAATCTTGAATATCTGATTTAAACTGTGGGGCAGAGGTGCGGCGGCGCAGGGCCAGCCATGTGCGTGCATGCTAAGTTGCTTCAGTCGTGTCTGACTCTCTGCACCCCATGGGCTGTGGTCCACCAGGCTCCCCTGTCCATGGCATTCTCCACGCAAGTATTACCGGAGTGAGCTGCCATGCCCTTCTCCAAGGGGTCTTCCCCACCCAGGGATCGAACGGAGGTCTCCTGCAGTGCTGGCAGACTCTTGACTATCTGAGCCTCCAGGGAATCCCCAAATCACAGTAAACTGACTTACAAATGAGTTCACTGCACCTAGAAATGACTGAAAATATTAAGTGAATCTTGAATATCTGATTTAAACTGAACTTCAAAAATACGTTTATCAGATGGTGTGGTTCATATGAAAGTAACTCAGTCTGAAAGCTTCCTTGAAGCTTCATGGCTTGTAGGGTTAAATGAGGCAGGATGCTTGCCATCTGCGCTACTTTGTTTTCTGTTTTTTCAAGCCGACAGCCCACACACACCTCCACATCAGACTTTTGGTGGTGATGGCTCCCCTTCTTGGGTAAAGAACAGCCCAGGGAGGTTGGTGTGCATGCTGGCGGTTTGGGGAAAGAGTTAAAAGGGAAGAGAGATTGCGTTTTCTGACAAACTTATCTTATAGCTAAGTTCTAAACTTTGAATATGGTTATATGGATGTTGTGTGTGTATATGTGTGCTTTTAAATACACATCAATATTTAAAAGTAACTTTTTGGAAGGGTTTTTTTTCTTTGTAAACCAAAGTATGAATACTATGTGGTAAATATATAGCACAAACCACATGCTATTTTTTCTTTGGCAAGGTTGGTGGGGGAAAAGCCAATCTACACTGGATCTAGTACTTTCATTTTTTTTTTTTTTCTTAATCTAGGCACAAGCAGTCTGCAAACATTCAGGAGGCAGATTCACTTTTAACTATTCAAACATGACTTGAGAAAGGAAACTTGTTTTTGTCACTATAATTTTTTTCTTTTTTACATTATTTGGGGGTATTTTTCTAAATGCATTTAAAACTAAATTGAACTGTTTTCTCTTTGAGCTTTTTTAATGGGGTATAGCTAATTAACAATGTTGTGATTCCTGAGGATTTTCAGGACTTCCCTCTCTCACCTTTAAACAAAAACAATAAAACTGGCTCCATTTTCTTTCCTTTTCTTTTTTTACTGTAAACTGCAAACATGCTACCTGATATTAGATTATTTCATTCTAACTCAAAAGCATTCAGGAATCCCAAGTAAGTGACCCACAAACTGAGTGGAAATCAAAAGTCTATCTCTTATTTGGTACCAAGTTCTCATCCAAAGGAAGTGATGTAAGTGAAAACGTTCAACCAGTGTCAGGTCAAACTGGGTCTATTCTCCCAGCTAGAACTTACAAAGAAGGCTTCCAGCAAATGTAAAAGTGTAAAGAATTGTAGACTGAACCTACAGGTACTGACCATGAAGTTTCAACAGTTAGCAGTACATCTTGTTTCATCTATAAGCAACCAAGTTATTATTTTGAAACAAATTCCAAACATTCTATTTCATTTGTAACTTCTTCTGAATGTATCTCTAAATGTTTAGGACTCCTTTAGATATCATCCTCAGCAAAACCTAACCACATCTAGTGCGATATTCCTATGAAAACATTGCTCCAAATATTACTTCGTTACTGAAGAAGGCAACTTTTTAAAAATGCAGCCCAAAGCTGGGTTCAGCATAATGGCTAATACATTGTGCATAAATTTTGAAGAATCCCCATCTTCATTACATCTAGGAAAACTGTACCCAGAAATTCAATGACATTAAATTCTCCAAATGAAATTCTTCTAGCCAGGCTTACTAACTTACATGTGGACTTTGGGAAAAATTGTTGAAAGTTTTCACTGTTATCCATGTGACGTCAAGACTGCTAAACGATCATGAGAAGGCTAGACTTCTCAGCCCACCAGACCACTAATACTGGGACTCCCTACAAAGAAGTTAATTTCTTCAACAGTCCAGCAAGTCATTGTTTTTGAAATGGTCACATTTCCATGGTTCCTGTCAATCTAAGCTGTTCCTGGTCCCTACAATCCATTCATCCCCTAGGTCTTTCAGTGCTGAATACTCACTTCACTATTACTTCGTTACTGAAGAAGGCAACTTTTTAAAAATGCAGCCCAAAGCTGGGTTCAGCATAATGGCTAATACATTGTGCATAAATTTTGAAGAATCCCCATCTTCATTACATCTAGGAAAACTGTACCCAGAAATTCAATGACATTAAATTCTCCAAATGAAATTCTTCTAGCCAGGCTTACTAACTTACATGTGGACTTTGGGAAAAATTGTTGAAAGTTTTCACTGTTATCCATGTGACGTCAAGACTGCTAAACGATCATGAGAAGGCTAGACTTCTCAGCCCACCAGACCACTAATACTGGGACTCCCTACAAAGAAGTTAATTTCTTCAACAGTCCAGCAAGTCATTGTTTTTGAAATGGTCACATTTCCATGGTTCCTGTCAATCTAAGCTGTTCCTGGTCCCTACAATCCATTCATCCCCTTGGTCTTTCAGTGCTGAATACTCACTTCACAATTCCTGCTATGAAAATGCCACAATGCTAAGGTGTTAGAAGAGATAAAAGATGGGAAAGCATTGGGGCTTCCCTGGTGGTCTAGTGGTTAAGACACCACCCTTCCAATGCAGGGGAGTTGGGTTTGATTCCTGGTGAGGGAGTTAAGAATTCACATGCCCCAGGACCAAGAAGTAAAAATTAATTAATTAATTAAATTTAAAAAGAGAGAACTACTGCATCTTCTCTTTTCTCAATGCTTCTCTCTTATTTGACTAGGAATTTAAAGTCTTTTGTTATAGTCCCCATCATTACCTGGCATCATGCGTGCAACACAGTAGGAGGACACTGTATGTTGACTAAACAATTCTTAACTCATATTCTGTACCACTGAATAGTGTCGTGTGCAGTGCAGGCCCTCAGTATATAAGTATTAAATGGGGGAGGGGGCAGGACCACACACCAGATGAGAAAATGGATATATCAGTCATTCTTGGCTGCAGCACAGTCCAATGAAAGAAAAATGTTTCATCACTTTCATATAGATTTGTGTAATCTAAAAGATCCTGATGCTGGGAAAGATTGAGGGCACGAGGAGAAGAGGGGTGACAGAGGATGAGATGGCTGGATGGCATCACCGACTCTATGGACATGAGTCTGAGCAAACTCCCGGGAGGGAGACAGTGAAGGACAGGGAAGCCTGGCATGCTGCAGTCCGCGGGGTCTCAAAGAGTGGGACCGGACTGAGTTGCAAGTAAACTACTTGAAAGTTGTAGTTTTAGAAAAACTTTCTCAACAGGAAAATATTTTTATTAATATACAAATTTTCTAAAATACTGTGCATAGTATGTCTACTTCTGTCTCAGTTCATAAACTAGTTCTACAAAATGCAAATTAGTGGATACTGAAAACTTCGCAAAAAAGTCTATGATTACAAGTTCAGGACTCTGGCACATGTCAAAAACCTGTACAACCCAGGCAATGCCATGTTTCGATGCATCCAATTTGGTTTAGTAATCACCTTTGAATCTGAAAACCAATGAAGTCCAAACCCAACTCTCTTTTCCCATAAAAAAAAAAAATGCACAGTCAGCCCCCCACTTCCTTTGAGAAAGAGTTCACAGCACCAGACAAGAATATTTGAATGAATCCAAGCAACTGCACAGCAATTTCCAAGAAAACACAAGAGCACAAACCACCAGAAAGCATAATGTTACAAATTTACCCCTTCCTTTCTACTATCTCTCTGCAGTCCCTAGCCGGTTTCCCCATCTTTGAAAAGCTTGGTTACTCGCTAGATCGTCGCCAGGCAGTGCCAGGGCAGAGAACTTCACCACCTCCACACACGTCTCGCTTCCTTCCTCCGCCCACCTTCGTGGGAAGACACGTGGGCCCTTCTCTCTTTTCACCCCGAGCGAGAGGAGCCCGTCTCCTAAGACAAGGCGTCCCTGGCCACGCTGTGGCTTTCGGTCCATCTGCTGCTTTGGGCATCGCCACCCGATGCGCCAGAGGCTGCTCCAGCGCACGCACTGCGGCCTTCAGCTCCGCGCGCAGCCCCGCACGGTGTAAAGCAACCAGCCCCAGGACCCCACAACCTCCCGGGGGTGGGTGGGAAGAGAAACGGTCGGTGACGCCTAACTGGAGACGCTCCATTTTGTTCCTAAGTGAACATCAGTAAGTTCAATCTTTGCTCCAAGGAGGATACAGAAGGGGAGAAAAGTGCGTAATCGTTTCCAAAAGAGGTGAGCGACCAATGCGGTCTCGCCGGGGGAAATTCAAACGCACCACTCCGGGCGAGCCCAGCCTGGGCTCACCAGCCTGGCCAGGCTGCGCGCGCGGGGATTGAGGCCAGCGCTCGGGCCCCGCGCCCGGCTGACCCCCCAGTCCCACGTTCTCTTTTTCTGAAGAGTCCCTTTCCCCTCCGGAATATGCAAGATCCGGGGAAGCCCAGCTGGGGGTAACCAAACTCCACCGCCTGCCAAGTGCTGGTGGGTCGAGGTAGGCGCGCCCCGTCCGCGCGCCCCTAGGGGGCGAGCACTCACCTGCGCTCGGAAGTAGAGGAACAGGGCGACGCTGCAGACGACCTGGCCCAGCCCCAGCCCCAGGAGGGCCACGAAGGTGGAGCGGGAGGCGGCGGCGGCCGCGGGGGTCGCGGGCGGCGGCGGGGCGTGCCCCAACTCTTATAAACCGCCTCGGGAGGGCTGGCCCCGCGAGCCAACCCGCCCCGGGCGAAGCTGCCTCTTCCACTCCCACCCCGGGCTCGCCTTCCTTCCTTTCGCCCTCCCTCCCTGCCCCTCTCACTGAAAGGCCTCCTCCCTCCCCGTCGGGGCCCTCGTGGGTGGAGGCTGTGGGTTGGTCCAGCGGTTCCCAGACACCACTTGCCCGTCGTCTGAACGTCGAAGAGATGGGCTTTCTGAAAGTCCAAGAGCTGGGTAAGGGGAGAGGCGAGGGAATGCCTGGTCAAGGATGAAGGTGCCATTACAGACGTTCCTGAGACCGTCCGCATCCCTGAACCTCAGTTTTCCCTACAGGATTTAAAAAGTCGGACTTGGTGCTTGGTGATGTCTGAAGGCCCTTCCTGTCTGTCTCACCTCCTCTTCCCTCTCACGACCCCCCCCCCTCCCCAAATTTTTTTCTGCAGGAAGCATCCTCAGGAATACTGAGGGTGCAGCCTCTAGCATACAGGTTCCAAATATAGATTCTGATTATGTATTTTGGCAAGCTTAGGAAACCAGAACCCTCGCCCCCAAACCCCGGTTTCTGCACCCTCAAAGTGGCTTTAAATGAGCCAGATTTTGAATCTGGCAGCAGGAAGCTTATAGAAACCAAGTCAGACTTAAAAAAAAAGAAGAAGAAAGAAACGGTTCAGAGAGAGGATCCAGTAACGCCACATATAGGGCCATAGATGTTAAGAGAGTTGGGTCATTTGCCATTCCTACCGCTTAGGAGCTATTTTCCTTCAATGTCCTAAAAATAAGAGTATACACTCCGGAGGTGGGCCACCCAGCAGGGCCCATCCTGCTGCCAATCACGAAAGGAGAATGTTACACAAAGCTGAGGTGGCCTTAAATGTTGGGTTTCCTTGCTAAGGAAAACTTTCTGGGGCTTTTTAAAAGTCTCTCTTCAGAATTGTGCCTTGATGAGAAAATGAATATATGAACATTGCTCACAGATTTTGATACTTTTTCAGTAGGAGAGAATGGAAGTGCTGGCCAACATAAACACGGTTAAAAAGTTCGGATGTTTTCACTTTGTGTCCGTGTGTTTTAAGTTTGTGTCTTCTTTTTGCATAGTTTTCTAAAGGGCACTTCCAAGAGGGGAGATTTTTCACAATGGCACATCTCTGAGTCACCGAAGTTTGTGTTCTCAATTGGTCACTTAGAACTCAGCACGCTTTGAAGAAGAGCAACCAGGATGGGTGAAAAAGGACCCAAACGAATGAAATGATTTGTTCAAATTCAGATCAAACCCAGGGCTCCGTGGCAACCTAGAGGGGTGGGATGGGGTGGGAGGTGGGAGGGAGGGGACATATGCTTACCTGTGACTGATTCATGTTGATGTTTGGCAGAGATCAACACAATAGTGTAAAACAATTGTCCTCCAATTAAAAATAAGTAAATTTTTTAAATTGTGTTTCGCATTTATATGTGTATGCATCTCAAGTTTGATGGGGTAAACGGGAAGACAGCTTTCAAACTCTGGTGGAGAAATAGCAAACATGGGTCTGTTTCACGAGGTCCTGGGTTTCTTCTTACTCGTTTGTTCACTTTGGGAGATCAGGGTTGTTTCTCCTCTCTTCCTCTTCATTATTTTTCTTCTTTTGGGAAACAAGTCTTTATTTCATTCTTTTTGCAAATCTTTATTGAGTTCAAAGATTTTTGAAATGTGTGATAACTACTAAACCCGCAGTGATTTTAATGTATAGCCCTATCCATTCTTTTTCAGTGTTTTTTAAAATCTTTCTTTCTTTTTGGCTGCCTCGGGTCTCTCAGTTGGGGCGTGTGAGATCTTTCGTTGCCGTGCTGGCTGAGTAGTTAAGGTGTGCAGGCTTAGATGACCTGGGCGTGTGGGATTTTAGGTTCCGAGCCGGGGATGGAACCTGTGTCCATTGCAGTGGAAGACAGATTCTTAACCACTGGAGCACCAGGGAAGTCCCATTTTTCAATGCTTTATACAAGTCTTTTATTCCTTGGCATCTTGCTCTTCAGATTACAAGGCGTTCCCTCAACTCTCTGAGTCGTGTTTGGCCTAAACTTCCCTGGTGGTTCAGCGGTAAGGAATTTGCCTACCGACGCAGGAGACTCAGGTTCAGTCCCTGGGTTGGCAAGATCCCCTGGAGGAGGAAGTGGCAACCCACTCCAGTATTCTTGCCTGGGAAATCCCATGGACAGAGGAGTCTGGCAGGCTCCAGTCCTGTGAACCCTGTGAACATGGGTTCACAAAAGAGTTGGACACAATTGAGCGACTAAACAGCAACAACAAGAAGACCCAGTAGCTTCATGTATAAGTCCCTAAATTACGTTCCTACAGAATTCTTCATGTGACACTCTTAACCGCATGGCAGTTATTTTCCTTTCTTATCCCAAAGATGCCATCCCACGATGTTCCGACATCCACAGGCTGGAGTGGAAAGTCCACTGTCAATCCACAAGTTGCTTCTTCAATGGTAATGAAACTTTCCGACCTATTAATTTATGTGTTCATTTGGCAACATTTCACTCCCTAATTACTTGACATTCGCCTAATAAATGGGGTGGCCCCATGGTTGGCTTCATTTGGAAAATCCTGCATTAAACAAAATCACAGTAGTTGCACTTTTTTTAACACAGATCTTATCAGCGGCATTAATGTACACATGTATTTTGTAAATCTCCAATAAGGGGATTTGGAATTCTCTGTTTTCCAAAGAGTTCTCATCTTTTTTCCAGGGGGAGGGAGGCTTCACATACCAAGGGTTTAAGCAACGAAGTTGGGTCAAAAACAAACAAACAAACAAACAAACAGATAATAAACATCTATAGGACACAAATGGACAGTGCAACACAAATGGCCCGAATGTCAGTAAAACAGTCAGTAGCCAGGGGAACGGAGAGGGACTAAAGGAACCGGAAGAGGAGGGACCTGAACGAGGCCAAGGAGGATGCTAAAGATTGTGTCAAACTGGAGAAAACCATTCAGATCGACTTATTTTTATTAATTTTGTATTGGAGTATAGTTGATTGACAGTGTTGTGTTAGTTTCAGGTGTATAGCAAGATGATTCAGTTATACATCCACATGTCTCGGTTCTTTTTCAAATTCTTTTCCCACTTAGGTTATTGCAGAGTATCAAGCAGAGTTCCCTGTGCTGTGCAATACAAATCCTTCTTAAAGCATCACTCTGGCTGTCCAAGTTATCGCCACAGGCCTGCAGTTTTCTGTTCTTGCCAGGGCTTCCTGGAGTGCCCTTAAACCCCACTGGCCCATCAGGTGAACTCTCAAGCTGCTTACCGTGTCTTAGATCATCTTCTGGTTCCTACTGCCTTCCTGCTTCATGTTTTCCCCTCCAGCCTCACATTTTATGCCCCAGCGACACAGGACTGCTTGCACCCTTGCATTTTCTTGCCTTTGTGTGTGCTCAGTCACTCAGTCAAGCCTGACTCTGCAACCTCCTGGGACTGTAGCCCGCCAGGCTCCTCTGTCCTTGGGATTCTCTAGGCAAGAATACTGGAGTGAGTTCCCATTTCCTCCTCCAGGGGATCTTCCCGACCCAGGGATCGAACCTGCACCTCCTGCATTGGCAGGCGAATTCTGTACCACTGAGCCACATGGAAAGTCCCTCATGCCTTTATATCTTTGGCTCATTCAATGTCATCTGCCAGGATTGATCTGCCCTGACTTTTTCACCTGGTTATTGCCCTATTTTCAAATGTTCAGTTAAGGTCCCTTGTCCTTATGAAGCTTTTCCTGCTAGCCCACCACCCCCAGGATGAGCACTACTTCTGATTCTTTATGACACAATGTGCATATGTTTATCATAGTTGTGAAACTTCTTTTCATGATCTTTCGTTTTCTTCTCTGTCTCTGCCTCACCCACTAGACTGCAGGCTGCGTGAGGTAAATCATGTCCTTTGTATTCCTTCTGCCTTCTCACAGTGCTTCATGAAGGTTTGTGGGATGAATGAATAAGTAAAAGAATATAATATGTTTCTGACATTCTGATAACAGAGGGCTGAACACCAAGTATTAAATAGGAAACTGCCTCAAATAACATCACTCTCTAATTATACTGATAACCTAATTTAACTGGGGAAACACGGAGCAAATGTAAGGGTCTATCATACCTGGACAATAAGGAGGCATAAATATAGAAATTTTAATGCTAATTCTGTAAAATTTTAATCTCAAGCTTATAGAACTTAAGAAAATTTGAACTTGGGTGACTTTCAGTTTTATATAATTATCTATACTGTAGCAGCTTTCAAAGTTTTTGGTCTCAGAATTTACTTTCTTACAATGCAAACTTCCAAAAGTATTTTTTTTAAAAATGTGGGCTGTAGCTGTCAATATTTACCATATTAAAAATTCAGAGAAGTGTCTACTCATTTGTGGTAACAATATATAACATCATTTATGAAATGTGTATCACTTTCAAAATAAAAATAAAGGTAAATAGGATTGTTTATGCTTGCAAGTCTCTTTAATAGAAGACACCTGTATTTTCTTAAGTGCTTCTCTACTCTGATGTGGCACGTTTTTTTCCTCAATGTGTATGAAGAAAATACAGCCTCACACAAACATATAGTTAGAAAAAAGAGGAATATTTTAGTTGCTTTTCCTGATACAATTATACAAGGTGTTTTCCTTTTCTACTACCGCCAAACTCAACAACTGGTCACTTCTTAGCCATTATCTGTACTATGGAATCTAAAACCTTCAGTGAAATTTTCCTCCTCTATTTCAAGACTATCTTTATCTCTATTTTTATTTGAATAAATCTTTTACCCAGGAATGACTTTGTAACATCAGGCATTGGTCATTTGGAAAGTATTAATTCACTGAGTCCCACAGATTTTGTAAGTATTGACCTATTTCATTATATAATATCAAAACCTGCATTCACTAATATCACCACTGAGTTTATCAGAAAAGTTTTTAGTATTGGGAAGCTGTTAAGTTCAGAGAGGCAAATAGGAGTTTTTTGAAATTCTAATTTGTCCTTGAAAGCTTGCATGGTCTTGGCAAAAAATACTGCCAGTTGCTTTTCTTAGATTGGCAGACTCACTTTGTTCATTTTTCAGACAACATCTGCCAAATACCGCAGTGTGAAAAGCATAATGTTTGTCATTAATTCATCTTGCAACTCAAACCAATCACTTGAGTGCTCTTTCTCATGACAGTCATGGTTATGTAGCAGAAGTACTTAACAGCATACCTCCCATTTTGTTCCATGTAATATAAAAAGATGTGTATTCAAGTATTAAGACAGTAAAAATAATAGTTTTTACTCCATCAAGGATATTCTTACGTGAAACTGTCAAAAAAAACAACTCTGAAGTGTGTAGCAGCAAAGAACACATGACCGATAACACAGTTTCCGCATCAACTGTACTGCTTTATGCCCTGGCTCCATCATCTTACCCATCAGCGCAAATGCCTACAGAGTAGAAAAGCAAATTATGATCTTAGTATGACTGTGAAGGTAGCTTAGATCTTGAGGAGCCCTTGTAAAGGTCTTGGAGACCTCAGAGGTCTGAGGACCACATTTAGAGAACCACTAATCCGTTGGATGGAGGCACATCTTGGCACTTTGTACACAGTACAGCCTAGTTCTGTTAGATATGGCGAACACTTGATCAAAAGGTCTTGGAGACATTTTTAAATATGTAAGAGAGAAAATAGAACTTGATGGCTGAATGTGAAAGGTGGCTTGCAGGAGTATTGGCTGGGGTAGCAGGGTGGATGTGCCCTAAACCCAGATAAAGAATATAAAAGTTTTAGTGATGAAGTCAGACATTGTGAATCTTCTTTTTTTGTTGTATTGTGCAGACCAGGGATTGGACCTGGGCCAAGGCAGTAAAAGTCCAGAATCCTAGCCGCTGGGCCACCAGGGAACTCCCAAGTCATTGTGAATCTTAAAGAAAGAGAACACAAGAGAAAAATTAGGTGTTAGGTAGATTAGGGCAAAAAGAAATGGTGAGTTTTATTTTGGACGCACTCTTCTTTCTCCCCTGAGCCTCTCTGTCTCTTCTGATCTCAGGTCCAAGCTGTTCAATGATTCTCTGAGGAGCCATTGAAATCCCCCATCTGGGTCTGACCTCCCTGAAAAATCTAACCCATCATTTCCATGACCCTTTATAAGCAATCTGTTCTCATCAAGTTCCCTTGTGATAACAAATGAACTAATAAACTAACAAGTTAACACTGATTTGTGCCGAAAGGCAGTTGAATTAAGCTTTTGTGTTTGCATTCAGTCCTGAAATTTACTGCCATATCCCTAAAGGAGTGCATTTCTTTTTAAAAAAACTTTATTTATTTATTTTTGGCTGCCCTGGGTCTTTGTTGCGTCTGTGGGCTTTCTCTAGTTGCAGAGAGAGGCCCTACTCTCTAGTTGCGGTGCAAGGGCTTCTCATTGTGGTGGCTTTTCTGGTTGCGGAGCGCGGGCTCTCGAGTGAGCAGCGTTCAGTACTTGTGGCACACTGCCTTAGTTTTCCCTCGGCATGTGGAATCTTCCCAGACCAGGGATCAAACCCGTGTCCCCTGCATCAGCAGGTGGATTCCCATCTGCTGAGCCACCAGGAAAGTCCAGGAGTGCATTGCTAATGGTAAATTATGAGACTCTAGGGAATCTTGAATGGCAAAGCGGAGGTGAAAAAAAATCTTGATCATGTACAAAGGAAGTATACGTGCCTGCAGCAGTGTGTCTCCTTGATGCACAATGCTGGAACTATCTAAAGTAATTTTACCTCCAGCTTTTTAGGAAGCAACAGTGTTTGATAGGGCTTTTTAAAACAATTTTTTATTGAAGTATAGTTGATTTATAATGTGTTAATTTCTTCTCTATAACAAAGTGACTGAGATCTATCTATCTATCTTTCTTATGTCTCCTTAAGAATTCTCCTTACAACCATTTTTACATTCATCTCTTCTCTGCAAGGCAGTTCTTTTGTTTACTTGGGCTGGTTCCTCTTTCAAGTTTCTGAGGTCCTTTCAGTGACGTTTTGACCTGTGTGTATCGGTTACTGGAGGCGTCTTAGGCAGTGGTGGACACACAGGAAGTGGGGATGAAAGGGGAGCCCTGTATAGTGCAGGGAGCTCAGCTCGGTTCTCAGTGCTGACCTGGAGGGGTTGAACGGGCCAGGTCGGAAGGGTGGCTCAAGGGGGCGGGGATGTCTGTATACACGCGGCTGATTCACTTCGTTGTACGGCAGAATCCAACACAGCATTGTCAAGCAATTATACTCCAATGTTGTTGTTGTTGTTGTTTAAAAAAGATGTTTCCTCACCAGGAGGCTGAGTTAGGAAGGGCTGGTGGGATTCAAGTAATTCCCAGTGTGTTTCAGGCTGCATGGGTATCACCTGGCCAGAGTCTCTCAGTAAGCTATGGGATTATTTTTTAAGATTTTATAGAATCTGTTAATTCTTAGATCTACACATTGCCATGAGTAATTTTGTCCAGAAATTACCT